AATCTCATTTAGTCGAAAGAGTGAAAATCGATCATCTTTGAATATTGAACTAGTCGAAACTGAAAAATTTTATTTTTCTTTCAAATACTAGGTTGTGGTCCACAATATAGTGGTTCTTGGTGTAGTATCTCAGCTGCACCGGGAAAATTATACTATGGTCGAGGTTGGTTTCAGCTTTCATGGCCATGTAACTATTACAATGCAGGTCAAAGTCTTGGTATTGATCTTCTCGCAAATCCAGATATAGTAGAAAATGATCCTAAGACAGCGGTAAACACAGCTCTCTGGTTCTACAAAGCAAATGGTATGGCTGCACCAGCTCAAAGAGGTGACTTTGCTGCTACGACACGCATCATCAATGGTGCACTTGAGTGTAATAATGGACCAGGTTACAATAATCAATTGACTCGAGTTGCGACCTACAAACGTGTTCGTCAATGCTGCGGTCTTGGAGAACCTTCCATAAATCCTGTCTGTTAGACTTTCTTTTCATTTTCTTCTCTTTATTGTACAGACATTTTATCGATCTAAAAACGGACTCTCAATTTAAATGAGAAGTTGTGTTTCTTTTGGCTCTGTGTGAGTCGTTTATGCTAATTATTTAATCATTCTTTCTTTATTTCGGGATATACTACTATTTCGAATCTACTGATTTTTTTTATTTGTTATCATTTTTTTTTGGCTTGCGCTCTTCTGTTGCATTTGTTGTTAATTCATTTTTTCTTTGAAAAATAAAACCAAAGAAGAACATGATTGTGTCTTGTTAAACACTATTTCTAAAAAACAGTACTACACCACTCGTTTTTTTTCCATTTTAAAGCATTTCTATAGGAAATTCTATTAGATGAAAAGACTTCATTTTTCATATGATTCTATTTAGAAACAAACACTTCACAAAAACTATCCGATACTATATATGAATATTTAGCAAATATAGTTTCCTACAAAGAATGTCAACTTATAATAGTTTAAACTAATTTTCAATAGTAGTATGAGTTTTCTATTGATATGGAAACAATAAGAAATTTCAAAAAGTTTTTATCATCATTGTTAATTTAAGAGAAACTATTAAAATATGGTGTGAACCTTCAACTGTTGATTATCGAAAAAAATCGATATCTCATTTAAAAAAAACAAATAATTGTTTGTACGACTAATCACACAATGCTTTTCCACACACGAAGTATTTACAGGTCATAGCATCGAATATCATTCCTGTCGTCTTTATGGAAAACTCGAGTTGTGTCCGTTTTGGTCATTCTGAGAATCGAAAGTACAAAAAGAACTTTAAAGCAGACATGGTCGATACCAACGGATGTCAACTTATTTTTAAAAGACACTGTTGATTTTTCGTTTACTTATCTATTATTAGCCTTCCATATAGCTGTAGTAAATAAAATCAACTTAACGAGTACACCAACACTTACTTTTTATGCTGTCTCCATTTTAATTATATCGAAAGACGACGGAAAACATAGCTCTTACAAATTTGTATTTTTTTTGTGGAGTACGGATTTGTAAGAAAACAAGACATCCTGTGGAAGATCGAAAAAGAAATGATATCGATTCGATCTTGATACTTTCACGTTGTGTTTGAATGAGTATTTTCTGAGTTTTCGTTCATGAGATTTTTGCGACACATAGATTTGTCTTTGTTTTTTTTTGTTAAAAATAAACGTAATCTTGATTCAACTGGTGATGAATAATTTAATGAGTGAAACGAACAATTATAATGATGTTTTGGAAATGCTTAACATGTTTGCTATTCATTGAATTTCATTAATACTGAATTCGTGGTCTATTGGCATGATAAACGAAATTATAATGAAAATGACAGTTAAGAAGAGACTATCAAAAGTGACTGTGACCATTGAACAGAGCAAAAAATACAAATATTAGAGAAGAAAAGCAGACAACTATTTATATACCATGACATTGAACAGCTAATATTTAGACACACACTCTCTCTAGAGCTAATCGAGAAATTAGGTGTCGTTTTGTTTTATCTAATTAATGCTAATTACAGGTCAACAATTACAGAAAGTTCGAAATGAATGTTTAAAAAACACATTTTACTCTATTGTGTTGAATTGGGAGTTTTCCGCTGTGGTATAATCTCTTTTGAAGCTGATTCAAGTTCAAAAATATTTTTCAAATTTCAAATAAATAATGCCACGATGCTCAGAGTATCTAATAATCCATACATCGACTGATTTTAGAATTTTTGTTTGTGTGTAAATAGGAGTAGATATCTTTGTAAAGAATGCTTATTACTTCCTTCGAATGATAAGAGATACAGATTTAGACTTGATCTAGAATCTTTGATCTCGAGCCAGACTATTCATTTTACTATTTGAAAATAAAAATTCATCATAAAGTGTTATCAATAATATTTAATGAAATTAATTTATTAATTGATAATTTCGATAGAAAATTAAAATATGAACCTTAAACGTTATGAGTATCATAATCTTATCTTATAGCATCATGCAACAACACATATTTCCTTTCATGATTGTTAATTATTAACTCTAGTAGTACCAAGTGGATCATTTTTGACCCATACTTAAAAATTTGAAAATACAGTGCACATATTTTGTTATTTTTTTTCTTTCTGTTCTTGATTCTATACTAAGGTCACTGCGAAATACATATATATATCGTTGAAGTATTATAAATAAGTTTACTCTCGTCTCTTCTGGATTTTTGCTCAAGAATCTCAATAATTTACCATAAAGATGTTTAAAATGCGCTAGCAGTCGTTGGCTATCCTGTGATAGAGGAAGAAGCACAAAAAGTAAATGAAAACTGTATTCAACCCGTAAGGAGCTTTGTATAAAATGTATTTTTTGTATTAATTGTTTCAAATAAAAAAAGATCATCATTTTAATAATTTTTTTTATCAAATCGAATATGAAAATAGCACATTTAGGCTAAAATATTAATGTAAAAATAAAATAATCACGCTACAAAACTGTATGCTATCAGTAGAGTGCTAAAAAGGCCTGGTACTACTTGGGTTAAAAGTATACCAATATATATGTAGATTGTTCCTGATATTATTCCTTCTAGTTAGAAGGAAAATACGAATGATTTCTTGAAGATCAACACTCAAGTCAACTATAGTCCAAACAATCAAAAATCCTTCTTAAAATATGATTTTTTTAATATTGATTATCATTAACGTCTATAGAATTATTCAATTATCTCTTCGTTACTGTAACATTACTGATACAGGTGCTGAACGTTTTGCTTATGCACTTGGTAACATGTTAAAACAAAATTGGAAATTATTAACACTTAATCTAAGTAGAAATCGAATTGGTGATTATGGTGCTAAATCTTTTGCAACAGTAAATAATCTACCCTAGTGAATGTACTGAGCAAAGGGTACCCGAAAAAGTACCCTGCTACTAGTATGTCACAGGAACTTTCGGGTACTAAAGTACCTTAAAGTACTTATAGATACGTATAAAGTACTCGACCAAGTACCCTGCTGGAAAGCATCCAGTAAATGGGTACTTGAAGGTACTGACCAAGTACCCAACCGGGTACTATTGTTCAGTAATTCTGAGTACCCTGTTGCCAAACTTGCAGTATGTTGATGATCGAAACTAACCTCAGGCTTTTTTTCATTTTTATTTCTCTCAAAGCAATTTATGATATTTTTTCGATTTTATTTAATTTAATTTTTCCAATTCTGAAAAGTCAAGCAGGTCAAATTTCGAAATCTGACCGGACGCGAATTGGTCGGATCTCCATCAGACCACTTCAAGGTAGTCCTCCCTCAATCTACGATTGAGATCAGCATGTCCTCGACTAGTAAATAGTCAAGAAAAATAATCTAGAAAAAATTAGTATGAAAAAATATTTTTTTCTTATGCTTCCTCAAGTTGCTTATATGAAGTCGTATATGCAAAAGAAAACGGTGAATGAACAGTTGCTACACAGAACGCAACAAATCTAGGGTGCCCTGTAGAGCTTTTCCTAGTGAAATTACAGGTGTGGGTACTCATGCAAGTACTTGTTCAGTAAAGATACTGCAATAGGTACCCAATGCAGTACCTACGTCAGTATAATTACTGAAAATTTTCGAAGTACCCACATCGGGTACCCTGCTGAGGCTTTCTCAGTATATGGGTACCCTGAACTCAGTACTTTCTCTAGGGATATTCATTCTATTCAAAATTAAGACTATCTTTTATTCTTAGGCATTACATTAGAAGAGAACATTAATATCTCTTAATCTTTCATCTAATTTTATGGAACTCACATATGTTTTCGAAGAAAATAGTGAGTATAAGTTTTAAGTTCGAGATTTCCCAGCTCCCCACTTCCTCCCCTTACAGACAGGCCCCCATTACAGACCATAGCAACGAGGCTCCCTATTACGGACACCTCCCCCCCATTACAGACTTTAGCAATGGAGAATAAAAGGTGTCAGATTTTTTAGAGTTTGAAAAATTGCTCAAGTTATAATTTTGAAGATTAGTCAACATCATTGTTTGTGAGTTGATTAACATATATATATATATATATAATAGTGCATAAAATCTGCCATAGATATCATGAATATGTAAACTAGACTTATTTGCCGATTCAATGATTATAATAATAAGAATATTAAATTAAAAAAACACGAATAAAAAAAAATAAAAAATAATGAGCGAATAGCAACAATGCAAACAAAAAATAGGGCCCTCGTAGAAAACAAATTCTATTTTAAATGTAGAAATAAATAGTAAATTCTTGCTCTTGTCATTGATTATTAGTGAAAACAACTACAGTCGACAAGAAATTTTTCAGTTTACGGATGATGTATTAGGATAACAAGGTTGAAGGATATATGTGAGTTCCACATTTCAGCTCCGAAGGAGCTCCGCTAACAAGCTTTTTTTATGTGTATTTGCAATGTGTTAAATAGTGGTAGTTGGTTTATTTTTAGCGGCAGATTCTGCACGCTTGGAAATAAATCATATCAACATAAAGCAGTTATTACAATGTATGATCAACTAAGATCAATTGAATTATCAATATGTAAGAAAAAAACTTTTTTTTTCAAAAGAAATTTTTTTGTTGAATATTTTTTATTTCAGTTAGAGCAAAAATTTGAGCTTTATGAGATGCTATTGTTGATATGCATGGAGCTAATGTTATCCGAACATGGACACGTTTAGCTTCTGTAGCTATTATTGGTTCAACACAAATTATTATTCTTCATCCTGTAGATTGGCCAATAGACAGCACAATTGTTATTACAACAATAGGAAATTATTTAACTCAAGGAAAAACTGAAATATGTACAATAACAGCTATATCATCGAATGGACTTACATTAACATTAGATTCAGCATTAGTCAATACTCATTTAGGTATAACATAAAGTGTTGGTTCAACATCAGTTGAACTTCCTGCTGAAGTTGATTTCCTATCTCATAATGTTATCTTTCAAGGTTTGTTAAGAATATTTATTTGAAATTATTTTTTATATTTATTTTTCGGACAATAGGCTCAGTTACTCCATCATCGAATTTAACAATTGAACTTTGCCTAACCGGTTTTAATTCAGGTAAATAATTTTATTTGATTGAATTAAAAATTTCATATGTTTTTATAGGTGAATTTGCTGTTCAAACATGTTTTCTAGGTCGATATGGTGAAGGAATTGGTTCAGATCAATATGGCGCAACAATTATGGTTTATTCTAGTTCTGATAGTATTTAACGAGCTATTCCTTGTTCATCAAATATTGAAGTAAAACTATTCTCTTTTTTTTCTATTTAATTTTTCTAACCTTTTAATTTCATAGGTATTCAATGGTGGCAAGCTTTTCATCTTGATCAATATCCAGTACATTTTCATATGAATGGAAATATGAGTTTATCATATATTAAATCATCTGCTATTCATCAAACATTTAATCGAGCTGTTAATATTCATACAAGTCATTATTTTACAGTTGAAAATAATATTATCGATGATATAATGTATGTAATAAAGAAATATATATAAAAAAAAATATTGAATTATATTTAGGGATGGAGTGTTCTTTTTGGAAGACGATGTTGAAGTCGATAATGTTTTACGTGGTAATTTAGTTGTATTTATACGAACAAGGTCAAGTTTACTTAATGAAGATGTGACATCAGCTGCATTTTGGATAATTTTTCAATAAATAATATTTATTATATTCATGTTGTTGTTTGTTTTTTAGATTACTATCCAAATAATATTGTTGAAAATAATGCTGTTGCTAGTGGTACTCATTTTGGTTATTGGTATTGTATGGTTCGAACATCAGATGGACAATCATTTGCAATATATCGAAATATTTGTCCATATGGACAAATATTTGATCGATTTGTAAACAATAGTGTACATAGTGTAGGACGTTTTGGTGTACGGATTTTTCTTGACTATTCACCAACTGTAGCTGGTAGTCGTTCAGCTGATACACCATATCAAGCAGTATTTGATGAATTAATAGCATGAAGAAATCATAAAGGTTTTGAATGGGTTATGTCAAGTAGAATTCAATTAAAAAATGCAATTGTTTATGATAATGTTAATTCGGGTATTCGATGTGTTACAGTCATTAATCATCAATCAAATGGTCTTCTAAATCATCGTATTACATTTTATAATGAAAATATTGGTTCGTCTGTAATAAATTCAATTGTTATTGATGGTGTAAGAGCATCATCAAGTCCAGTTATGTTGGAAGAAGGTGGTCTTGTTGGTAAGTTGAAATAAGCAAAAAAAAAATTACTTATTTCGAATGATTATAGTTATATGGAATCGTGGTCTTCGTATACACAGTATTTCATTTATTAATTTTCCAAATGCAAATACACAAGCTATTTTTGGAGCAGTTATCATTGGACGTTGTACCGTTTATTGCGGAGGTAAAATGAAAAATAAATAGAAAAAAAATTTTATCTATTATTATATATTAGGTTGATTAACTAAATTTTCTCAATTATCATTTACAAATGTTCAAAATTGTGGTAATTTTCGATAGACATATGATGGTATATATCAAGATTTAGATGGTTCATTATCTGGTGTAACTAATGGTATAATCCTTTCACCTGATGCTCTTACATCAAGTGCATGTACATCAACACTAAATTTTCATAATGCAATAACATGTCCGTCATTATTGGATACATGGATTCGATCTGCATTTAATAAAACTAATTTAGAACAAAATGGTGAAGTTTTAAATGTTTATGATACATCAAATCGTCATACAGTTGTACTTTATCTTCATAAACGATTTACACATTCTAATATTTATATGATGAATTTATTAGCTGGACAAACTTATTTATGTCAATTTCAAAATACTAATGTAATAATTGCTCTTTTTTTGTGAAATAATATTTTGAATAAATTTATTTTTATTTATAGAGTTCTATTAATATATTTTATTTAGGTGTTGCTTATGGTTTGGCACCTGGTAATTATCTTATTATTCGTCATAATGTTGATTATATGCCTGATCGTGTTTGTAATATTTATTCTTTCATTAATTGAACTTTTAAGGTAATAAAGAAAATGATTGTTTCTATTTCTTTTTATTCTGAATGGAGAGAATGAAGTTATGTTTTGGTTGCACGATAACATATATAACAACGTGATTAATAGTTGATCTATAGTTGTATATTTTATGGATTGCATTCTACATATTCGAGAAAAGAAAAATAAAAGAAAGAAATATGCGTCTGAATCATCTTGCTGACACGTCACCATTTCACGCAAATAGTATATAAGTTAGTTCTATTCATTTAATATAAACAATAACAAGCATCATTCTCTTTAAACCTCTTATTATTATCTTATTATTAGTCAAAAATGGCGAATCAAGGTACAAATGAAGCTGATCATATTATAAATATACGCAATCAACCAAATCATGAAATTATTTGAACAGTATGAGATTTGTTTTTAAACAAATAAAAAATAATTTTTTTCATATAGTATAACGATTATCAGGAAGAACGTACTGGTTATCAATTGAAAAGAAAAGCTGGTTTTCATCTCAGTGGAGTAGAACGTGGTCGTCATAATTTTACTTCTGAGTCTCTTTCATTCATGCGTCCGGTTTATAGTAAATTTAGGATATATATGACCATATTTTTCAATATTTTTTTTTTAGAAAAAGCAGTTGAAAAAATCATTGAAGATGAAGAAAACCGTGATCCAACGTCATCAACAACTGTCGAAAATGACGACGATAACCAATATTATGGTGAACCTGTACCAGAACTTGCAACAGCAAATGATAATACAAATAGTTACCCATGTGTTCGAATGCGATCGCACTGTGACCCATAATTGCGGAAAATTGCGGCGCAGCTACGCGTAACTGCGAATATTTTACCGTAGCTGCGCGCAACTGCGATATTTTATTCGCAGTTACGCGTAACTACGTCGCAGTCGATCGTAGTCGAACATATGATTTTTTTTGCTGCGATCAATGCGCCACAGTTACGATCAAAATTTCGCAGTTACGTGCAAATGCGGCGCAGTTGTTAAAAAAGTGGCGACATGGGTATGTTACTACTGAATGTCAACAACTTGATACAGAAACTAATATAAATAATCCTAGTAGTAATAACTTGCAAGATAATACTGAAATTATTGTTAATGTTGATGCAGATAATAATGGTAATGTTGATCGTATATCTGATTCTAGTCCTCGATTAAATCGAGCTATTAGTGATCAATAAAGAGTAAATTGACTTGTTTTATTGATATTAAATTTATTTATTGTTTTCTAGAGAAGAATAAATATCTGTTCATTATTAATGTATTCAAAGTGTTATGGCTCTTCCAGTAATCAAGAAAAAAAACCAATTATTATTATTATTATTTATTATTTTTTTTCATTAAATCTTATGTTATTATATTCTTTTTCTGTTGATAAAATATAATATTAATGATTATTCATTTCGCTTCTTTGTTTATATAAAATCATATGAGAATAGAAGTTTCAATATTATGATCATTTAATACTTGATATACTTTGGTTTTTGGAAATTTCAACCTGTTGCACGATTGTCGAAAACTTGATACATGATTCTAGACGCGACTCCTAAGGTTACCAAATCCCGGTGTAAAATTATTTTGAGCATGTCTAGGTTTTTCAAAAGACAACATCTATTTGGCGTTAGTGACGTGACAGTTTTGTTAGCGACGTGAGTGAGTACGACTTCACTACAGATGAAATACGCTGGTGATGAACTGGAAAGTTTGAAATCGATGCCAAGGGGCTCCTAGTAATGGTAGGAGTACCTAGGATAATACAAAGACAAAGATATTCGTTTCAGCTCTGTCTAAAGACTCTGAAAGGTCGATTTTCTGGAAACAACTTTTTAAAGTCCGATCGCGCTGAAAATTTTATCATATATGCGGCTTATACCCTAGAAACTATCCTGAAGTTTTCACGTTTTTCCCTCATTTGATTATCGAGATATTCACTAGTTATTTATTAATTAGTTAATTATTAACTAATTAATAAAGGGTGAGCCAAAAGTCTTGGTCGTTCTCAGAAAAATTGTTCGTTCTTCCTTATGGTAAACCCAAAAATGCTCAACCGTTGGTGTCTTATCCCTTGTAAGTACGCGAACGTTACCCCAAAGTTTCATGTTTCTATCCCTTATTATAAGAGAGATACATAGGGTAATATTCTAGAAAATATTTTTCTCATGTCCCAAAATATGGTTGGCGATGGGCCACTTTTGTATTTTACTTTTCCACCATTTAATACGTTCTGTTAGGAAAACAAAATATACTACAAGATGCAGCGTGAAAAGCTCTACAATCTACACAATAAAGCGTATTTTAATTATATAATTTTTGTTTTAAAAGAATCAAAACTCTATGCAATCAATTTTGACCGTTGTAAAAAAAGTCGTTTTTTCCTATACGAACGAAAAATACGTTTTCTTTCCACCTCCTCGTCACCAAATACATTTTTTTAAGAGAAAGCAGAATATACCACAAGATGAAGCGTGAAAAGCTCTACAATCTACACAGCAAAGTGTATTCTAGATGTGTAATTTTTGTTGTCAAAAACAGCGAAATTTTGCGCGATCAGATTTTTGCAATGGCAAAAATTAATCGTACATAGTTTCGCTTTTTTCGACAACAAAAATTACACATTTAGAATACACTTTGCTGTGTAGATTGTAGAGCTTTTCACGCTGCATCTTGTGGTATATTTTGTTTTCCGAATAGAACGTATTAAATGGTGAAAAATTGAAACAGAAAAATGGTCAATCTACATGTATTATGCGCCAACTATTTTTTTTGGGAGATGGGAAAAAAAATTTCTAGAATGTTACCCTATGTATCTCTCTTATAATAAGGGATAGAAACATGAAACTTTGGGGTAACGTTCACCTACTTACAAGGAATGAGATACCAAAGTTTGAGCATTTTTGGGTTTACTATAAGGAAGAACGAACACTTTTTCTGAGAACGACCAAGACTTTTGGCTCACCCTTTATGTGATCCATCTATATCATCTTTTGTTCTGTGGTTATGCATGAATGCATATATCTCATGTCGTCTCTTTTTTAGCAACTGTGATCGCAATTGAATCGTAATCGAAAAGATAGGATGTTCTCATTTCTAGTATGTTCTATATGGATCATGCATATTCTCTATTGCCTTTCTAGTAGATTCCTTCCGTTTCCATACTCTTGTACATATATACCTGATACTTGCAACAACAAACAGATCATATTCTGTACATATGCGACAAGATAAAAGTTCTCTCTGATTAACAATTGATTGGTGATTAACAACCTTTACAGACTCTTTATGTAGTGGTGTATTTCAGCTATTTATGCAATTCATTTTATAGAAGTTCATCAACCATCTCTAGCATTATGGTCATTTTACTGTGACTATTGATGTGAAGAAAAATTATCTAGTGTCCTTTTGAGACGAGAACATAGTAGTAATTCAGAGAACGAAGATTCAACTCTCAGAAAAGCTATCTCTACATTTGGATATTAGTGAAGTGCGGGTATGCTATAATGGTTGAAGAGAAGACACACACCCGCATCCAACATTCTGGAGGTCTTCTAATGTGTCGAAGGCTTTAGGACTTCTCATTTAGAAGTTCTGAGCCGATCTTTGAAAGGCCTGTAAATTAAGTTTGAACGCATTTCAGTGTGCCAAAAAATTGCCCAAAGCAGAAATTTACAGGTAACTTATAAAATTTCACAGAGCCTATTGAAGCCTATCGTAAAACAAAAGTAAATTAACTAGAAATCACGAAAATTTATCAAATATAAACACAATACTTCTGAGTGAATTTTGAAATTACTCAGCCATTACAAACCTATTTCAATCTATTTCTATATGAGAAAGAACACACGACTCATAATCATCCGTGAACGTCCAATTACAATGGCATAAACAGCATACTTAGGACGATAAATGAGGCAAAAATTAACTTTTTGGTAGACAATGGACACGGCAGTACACATTGACGTTTATGACCGTACTTCCATACAAATAAACGTACATGACCATAATGAACCGAAATGGCAGCCATCCACGAACATTTGCTTCCTTATCATAACACATATGTACTTTTGAATATAGCCTACATCTCTAATCTTAGAGATATATCCTTAAACTTATACCCATAAGTCTATACCCATATTCTTATGCCCTAAATCTATATCCTTACATCTTAGATCTATAACCGATGCCTATAAACCTAAAAGTTATGCCCTATGAGAACACTCTTATGATTATACCCATACCACTGCATCGTTAGGTGAAAAGTACTTGATATGAATAGATATTTTATTTTACTAAAACTTATAGAAAACAATAATTTCTACAGTGTTTACTAAGAATAGAAGATTATTTGAGGTAAACATCGATCATTGTTCAGAACGTATGATCTTAACTAAAATAATATACACATAAATCACAATACGGAAAGCCATTTTAAAATGTGATAAAAAAGTATTTGCCAACAGAGACTCACTAAATACTTGTTAATAAATAATCTTAAGTGCTGTTTATAGATGTGCGGAACTATGAAAAAAAAGCGGTTGCTAAGATCAAGACTAGAATAAAAAAAAGTCGTCCCAATCAGAACTAGCAATTGTAGTTAATAATTCTATAATTTTAAGTGAATCATATCAATCAGAGCATAATTTAAGAGAGAGATGATCCAAAAAAGTCCTTCTCATCAATTAAATTAATCAAAAAAAAAAAAGTAATGAAGAATTTTTCTAGATGTGATACAAATAAATTTTGAAATAGTTTTCTATAGGACAGAATCTCAAAAGCTAACTTCAACGAGATCGGGACTAAGGTGATAGAAAAAGTTTTCAACAACAATATATTTTTCAATAATACTAAACATCTAGCTCAAATATAGATAATGATTTTAATAATCAATGGAATTTTGCTATCTAATACATTTATTGAATACCAAGCATAATAAATAATATCTATTCAAGTTTAAAGGTCTTTTAGCCTTCATCATTATTCTCAACTTTTTTTACACTATGTGATTTAGCAATAGGTTTATTATATCATTCAATTAATTAGTTATACTTGACAAAATCTATGTTGATATTGATATTTCTACAAATGAATAAATCTTTAGAATATATTTATATGAATGCGTGTGTCGTTGACTAAACGATCGACTCAAACATTTGCATACAAATATGTAAATATATAAGAAGTAACAACAAGAAAAGAATTGATGAAATGTAAATTTTCTTATAAACAGTTATACAGTTATAATTAATAATAAAATTAAATCTTTATATGTTACATTGACGAACAATAATATTTGCCGGATAGCGATAGAAAAACATGTATCTGTATCTTCCATTATAAGTATAAGTTATGAATATTATAAGCTTATCTTATAGTAACATGCGAAAGTACGTATTTCATTTCATGGTCGATAATTATTAAAGATATACCAACATATATGTAGATTGTATCCGATATTATTTTTTCTAGTTAGAGTGAAAATACGAATGACTTCTTGAAGATTAACACGAAAGTCAAGGATGTATAGTATATTTTGTTATGTTTCATCATATTTGTGTGTACATTGTTATTGCTCTACATTGTTTAAAATTCAAGATGTTACCACGTACTTCTTCAACGACAAAGACTTTATACTTTTGAATGTAAACATGATAAAAGTATATCGAAATATTAAAAAGTAGAAGAACATACAAAATATGCTGTTCATTTTTTAGCAAAAACTGTGAACTTAAAATCTTAAAATTGATTAGATATGTACCAGATTGTGTATAACCTTTTACTAGGGGGATAGCACTATGATTTCAAGTTAAATACCTAATGAATTTTATACCAAATTAAAGATCGTCAAAAACTGGATTCATTAGTACTAAATAGTAAGAGTTATCAAAATATTTTAATGTCGAACTTACGAAATTTTTGGAAACTTTATGCGTTTTTTTAGCATAGACAATTAAGGCACCAGTAACTTTTTATAGGGAAGACAAAACAGTCGATTTTCTCAATACAATTAGTTTTTTCAATATTTTCACTCATACAGACGCAATTTTTCATGCTGCATCGGATGAGTATATTTCGAAGCGTCTTTCTAAGTAAAAATAATGAAAAAAGTTAATTTTATCGAAGAAATCGAGTTTTTAAAGATTTTTTACGATTTTAAAAGTAATTTTTTAGATTTTGTATCTCAGAA